TGCCTAGGTTGCAGGCTTGATCCCCATTGGGGCACGTGCAGGAGGCAGCTAATCAATGATTCTCTCTCATTATTGATGTTTCTATCTCTTTCCCTCTCTCTTCCTCTTTGAAATCAATAAAGATATATTAAAAATATATATATATGTTGACTTGTGCATGTGTAATACATATAAAGCTCTTGCTGGTGCCAATCACATGCATGTTTTAACTTTATAATATACTATTTTGACATGCAATTTTTTACAGTAACGTAACTACCGCACAAATCTTTCTTCTAATTAATTTCCTTTTAATATGCATGAATCTCTGCACCAGGCCACTAGTGTTTCATAAAGACCTATACATACTGCCCTAATCCTCTACCTTCTTACTCTCTGTAACTGCCTTATATTCTGAAAAGCACAATGAAGAAGTACTACAGACATCATCTAATGCAATAGTCTTTTCTAAGTTTTGACGTATTTAGTCCCTTTAGAACATTCTCTTCTGTCTTTCCAAAGCACCGTAATTCTCAATACTTCAATTAGTACCTCTATGAAGATCCTTTCATATTTCCAGTTATACTACAGTTGCAGTTTAAGACTAGCTATACATCAGAACCACACATAGAACTTAAAAAAAAAATCCCTAGGCCCTACTTGTGCAGATTCTGGTTCAGTAGCAATGGAGTGTAGCCAGAACATTGGTCTATTTTATAAAGCTCCACAGGTTCAAATAAGCCTATTACATATAGAATAACTTATTTAAAAAAAAAAAAATCACAGGTCATGTAGATCCCGGAAAAGTCTACTGTAAATTTATGAAAGTAAGAGTAAAAATAGTTACAGTAATGTCTTAGTGTTATTACAAAACTAGTTTTGACCTGTGGACCTCTCAAATCTTGGGATTCCCCAGGGTCCGTAAGAATACTTTGAGAACTATAGCTACCTATCATCCAGGATATTTAGATTGTTGGTACCAGTATTTATTAAGTGACTAAAGAATATTTTGGCCACAATTAGAGAGACTTTACTCATTCATTTATTTATCCATCAAAAATAATGTATTAAGTATATGCCACGAGCTCTATGTCCTACTTGTGCTCTTACCTCACTGACATTACAATGTGGAAATCTGAACTTCTGCTAACCAGAGCTTAAGACAATCCCATATTTCTCTGCACATTCAGTGACAGCAAAAGCTGTTCTATTTTAGGCCCTGTCACATGTAAGTGGAGAACATACACGCACAAATTCAATCTTATAAGATTCTAAGCATCCCTAATATCATTTATCACTAGACTCAGATCATAACCTCCAGTTAAAAGTAAAACTTTTTCTTGCCCTAGCCAGTTTGATTCAGTAGATAGAGCAATCAGCCCATAGACTGTCCCGGTTTCAATTTTGGTCAAGGGCACCCTGGTTGAGGTGCATGCTGGAGGCAACCAATTGATGTGCCTCTCTCTCTCTGTCTCACCTATTCCTTCCATTTTCTCTAAAAATAAATGGAAAAATATCCTCGAATGAAGATTAACAACAATAATAACAAAAATAAAACCTTTTCTGATCCTTTATGGACCAGATCCTATTTCACCTCATCTATTAAATCACCACTGATCTTCTTAGACCAGCCTCCCTACCTAAAGTTCTATGCCAGAATTTCTCTTATAACATTTCTCAATGCTGTGTTTTCTATCCAATTTGTTTCCAGAAATTCCTTGAGTAAAAGACTGCACCTATATACCCTGAGAACCTGGTCAGTTCAAAGGATTTATCAGGTCTTTAACATATAGTTAGCACAATGGATATATCTGTCTCCTATGAACTCTAAAATTATTTTAAAAAATTATATATAAAATATGGTATACTATGTAATATTTATTTTTTAAATTTGTAAATATAAACCACTGGAATTAAATATCCTTTTGTTATACCTAAATATCTGTCATGAAATGTACTCACTTGGGTTCAGCTGTTCAAGAAATTATTAAAGAATACATTTCTTGCGGAAACCAATTTGGATCAGTAGTTAGAGCGCCGGCCTGCAGACTGAAAGGGCCTAGGTTCGATTCCGGTCAAGGGTATGATCATTGGTTGAGGGCACATCCCCAGTAGGGGGCATGCAGGAGGCAGCTGATAAGATGTTTCTCTCTCATTGATGTTTCTAACTATCTCTCTCCCTTCTTCTCTGTAAAAAATCAATAATATATTTAAAAAAAAAAAGAAAAGAAAAGAATGAAACAAAGGGTGGCTTCCCCTTTAATAAAAAAAGAATACATTTCTTTGCAGGGTCTAATCTTAGCTACAGATTCTATTTAAAAAAATATATATTTCGAGGATATGTTGGCATGTTAGCTGTTAATCAAAATAACTAATTATGTTTGACCTACTGGATATTATTTCTTATGTTTTAAACATATACAATAAAAATTTAATTTAGAAGCTAGTTTATCAACCATTTTTTCATATGTATAAAAAAGATCTAGTTATAAAATATTGAATAGGGTTCATTCTAAAACGCTGATATAACAGCTAAAGAATGTTAACTAATCATATATAATTAAGTGTTCAGTTACTACCTTAAATCCATTTTGGAACAAGATGGTTATAAATAAACTAGAGGCTCAGTAAGAGTGGCATCCCTCTGGGTGGCCTACAGGGATCCGACTGAATCCCGCAGTCCAATGAGCTCCTACCTGCTACTCCTGCTCATCCCATTGTGCCTGCCATGATCCATCAGGAGAGGCTCGCACTGCCCCAGCAGCACTCACCAGTCATGAGCCCTGCATCTGGCATCCTACCAAGGGGAGCGGCAGTGGGACTGGGCTGAAACCAGCTCTCTGACATCCCCCAGGGGTCCTGGATTTCGAAAGGGCACAGGTCAGGCTGAGGGATCCCAAAGGTGCACAATCAAACCAGGGATCGAGCCAGGGAGGGACCAAAGGAGGGCTCCAGGGTGTGTCCAGCCCATCTCGCTCAGTTCCGATTGGCTGGACCCTAGCAGCAAGCTAACTTACTAGTCAGAGCACTCACCCCCTTGTAGTCAGTATACTCATAGCGAGTGGTTGAGCAGTTTTAGCATATCATTAGCATACTAGAGGCCCATTGCATGAAGATTTGTGCAAGAATAGGCCTTCCTTCCCTTGGCTTTGCTCCTGGCTGTCAGGTAGCCTGCAAGTCCTCGCTCATGCAAGCACTGCTCCTGTAGCTCCCTCCATCCTTCACCCTCCCCACATAGCAGGCGTCCTGCCCCACCTGGCTGCTTTGCACCTGAATATGCTAATTAACCCATCATCGTTGGGGGTTAATTTGCATACTCACTCCTGATTGATTGGCTGATGGGTATTGTGGTGGTACAGTCAATTTGCATATTTCTCTTTTATTAGTATAGATTACACTTTGATAGATTGTTCGATTGTTCTGCTATCCGGTCTATTTGCATATTACTCCTTTTTTATATAGGCTAAGCTTCCGATTACCAAAAATAACGGTATATGTAGAGTTCCAAGATCATTTAGATCACATCTAAAGCAATCAATTCTGGGTGTCACCTCTGGAGAATTTAACAAATCTTAGAGGTCCCAGATAATAAAATAAAGATTCAAGAAGTCATTTTTTTATGCAGAACAGTAGTCTCCATATATTTAAAAGGTTTTCATATAGAAAAGGAAGTATGCTTCCCTTATTCTTAGGAGGGGGTATTAAAGAGCATACTACCTCCTAAGACAACTTCTTTTGTTATTGCAGATAGCTATTTACTAGAAAATTCTCTTGACTTAAAATCTACCTGTTGCCGAAACCGGTTTGGCTCAGTGGTAGAGCGTCGGTCTGCGGACTGAAAGGTCCCAGGTTCGATTCTGGTCAAGGGCATGTACATTGGTTGCGGGCACATCCCAGGTAGGGGGTGTGCAAGAGGCAGCTGGCCGATGTTTCTCTCTCATCGACGTTTCTAGTTCTCTCTCTCTCTTCCTCTCTGTTAAAAATCAATAAAATATTTTAAACAAAAATCTACCTAATTTTATATATATATATTTTTTACTCTATTATTAATTTTTTTTAATTTTATTGATTATGGTATCACATAATTATCCTCATCCACCCATTCCCATCCCAAACCCCTCCCCAAATATGCCCCCACCCCCCTGTTGTCCATGGCCATTGGCTAGGCCCATATGCATGCACACAAGTCCTTTGGTTGATCTCTGCCCCTTACCCCCACTTTCCCTCTGAGGTTTGAGAGTCTGATCGTTGCTTCTCTTTCTCTGGGTCTGTTTTTGTTCATCAGTTTATGTTGTTCATTATTTCCTCTAGATATATGAGATCATGTGATCTAAGAAATACCCTTGTAAGAACCAAAACTGAGACAAGCCATAATGGTTATGCTGAGAGGCAAATGAGTCAGTCTGTAGTGAGTTCCTTTCTGGGCCAACAGTTCTTTCTGAGTCCCAATTTCAATGGTTTCATGGAATAAATTTAAGCTAGCATTATATAGTCACCCATAAGATAGACTGTTAAAGGGACATTTAAGATAAAGACCTCATGATATGTAAGGTCCTTTACATATCATGGTCTTGATTTATAATTTAAAAATACTTTAGACTATTTTTATATTGAGGTTTAGAAAATATTTAAGGCAACTTACATTTTTACCAGATTTTTAAATTAAACAAAAACTTGAGAGTACGCCGAAACCGGTTTGGTTCAGTGGATAGTGGACTGAAGGGTCGAAGATTCGAAGGTTCGATTCTGGTTAAGGGCACGTACCCAGTAGGGGTTGTGCAGGAGGCAGCTGGTTAATGATTCTCTCTCATCAATGTTTCTAACTCTATCCCTCTCCCTTTCTCTCTGTAAAAAAAATCAATAAAACATATTAAAAAAACAAAACAAAAAAAACTTGAGAGTAAATACAAACCCCAAACAAAGGGTACTGATCTACTTCCTCCATGTTTTAAGTATGTACCAAAAATAGTATACTATGAACCCATAAATAAGAGCTCTTTATTCTAACTTGCAAAACTTACCAGAATTCTGTTGGATTCCCCACCGTATTCTCATCCTGAACTGTCGGGCACCACTTTGCTGGAGTCTTCTATTTAGTCGTGGAAAATTCTGCTTCTTTCCTTCCCTTCGATTCAATTTGATGATGTCATCTGTGATAGAGAAAATGCAATGATTATTTTTCATTGTAACTTATTGACTCAATTACTCAGTCTCATTTTCTAATTGATAGATTTCCAAGTCCCTAACTTCTTTTATACTTTAAAAGCACTTCCATAAGAGGGTAATAATAATAAGATAAAAACTCTTATCAGCCAAATGCACTTGGACCACTGAAGAAAGATTTTGTTGAAAATGTATACAACTCAACACCAGGAAGACAAACAATCCAATTTAAAAAATGGAAAAAGGCCCTAGCTGGTTTGGCTCAGTGGACAGAGCATTGGCCTGCAGACTGAAGAGTCACTGGTTCAATTTCAGTCAAGGGCACATGCCCAGGTTGCGGGCTCTATCCCCAGTATGAGGTGTGGAGGCAGCTGGTCAATGATTCTCTCTTAACATTGATGTTTCTATCCCTTTTTCTCCCTTTCTCTCTGAAATCAATCTTCTTCTACATATATAAAAACCTAAGCCAATGGTCGGCAAACTCATTAGTCAACAGAGCCAAATATCAACAGTACAACAATTGAAATTTCTTTTGAGAGGCAAATTTTTAAACTTAAACTTCTTCTAACGCCACTTCTTCAAAATAGATTTGCCCAGGCTGTGATATTTTGTGGAAGAGCCACACTCAATGGGCCAAAGAGCCGGATGTGGCTCTTGAGCTGCAGTTTGCCAACCACGGGCCTAAGTGACTGGTCAATGGTTTGACCAGTAGCTCTGATGCACACTGGCCAGCAGGGGGCAGATGCTCAACACAAGCATGGAAACATAGAGCAGACTGATGAATCTCAAGAGGGAAGAGGGGTAGGGAGAGGGCGTGAAGAGATTAAACAAAGGTCTTATAGGCATACTAGAGGCCTGGTGCATGGATACGTGCACTGGTGGAGTCCCTCAGTCTGGCCTGTGGGGAACAAACTGAAACCAGTTCTCCAACATCACCTGAGGGGTCCCAGATTGCAAGAGCATGCAGGCCAGGCCATGGGACACCACTGGTGCACAAATTCATGCACTGGGCCTCTAGTAAAAAAAAAAAAAAATTTTTTTTAAATAGACAAAGGGCCTGATTAGACCCTTCTTCTAACAGGACATACAGATGGCCGAGACATATGAAAAAATGCTCAAGATCACTATCAGAGAGATACAAATAAAATTTACAATGAGGTATCAACTCACACCTGTCAGAATGGCTACTATCAATAAACCAATTAACAATAATGCTGTGAGGATGTGGTAAAAAGGAAAACCTTCTGCCCTGCAGTCTGGAATGCAGACTGATGGAGCCATTGTGGAAAACAATGGAGTTTCCTCAAAAATTAAAAATGGAACTGTCTTTTGACCTACCAATCCCACTTTTGGGAATATATCCTAAAAATCACCAAAAAACCAATCAGAAAGGATATATGCACTCCTATGTTCATAACAGCATTATATATAATACAACTAGAGGCCTGGTGCATGAAATTCGTGCATGGAGAGGGGAGGTTGTCCTTCAACCTGGCCTGCACCCTCTCCACTCTGGGACCCCCTGGAAACTCCTCTCATAACCTGCAACCCCTGGCTCCTAACCGCTTGCTTGCCTGCCTGCCTGCTTGATTGCCCCTAACTGCTTCTTCTTGCCAGTCTGATCGCCCTCTAATCGCTCCCCTACCAGCCTGATTGCTCACAACTGCCCTCCCCTGCTGGCCTGATTGACTCCAACTGTCCTCCCCTGCTGGACTGATTGCCCACAACTGCCCTCCCCTGCCGTGATCCACCTCCCTCCGTGAAAGGTGGTGGAGACACCGGGACTGGCCTCTTCCGCACTGCACAAACTGTCTTCATATTTTTAGATTCTTTTTTCTTTTTGCTTTTCCAGTTGAGTGATTTTTGCTTCTTTGTATTTCAAATCTTTGACTTAATTCTTGCGACCCTCTAGTCTGCTATTGGGTCTCTGTATAATATTTAAAAAATATATATATTTTATTGATTTTTAACAGAAAGAAAGGGAGAGAGATAGAGAGCTAGAAACATTGATGAGAAACATCGACCAGCTGCCTCCTGCACACCCCACACCAGGGATGTGCAGCAACCAAGGTACATGCCCTTGACCGGAATCGAACCTGGGACCTTTCAGTCCACAGACCGACGCTCTATCACTGAGCCAAACCGGCTTCAGCTGTATAATATTTTTTTATTTCAGTCAGTGTATGTTTAATTTCTAGTTGGTCCTTTTTCATATCCTTGAGGGTCTTGAATTTATCGGCATTTCCTAGGAAATTCTTGAAAAAGTTTGTAATCGTGGTTTTGAAATCTGTATTCAGTCATTTGTTTTTCTCCATTTCTTTAGTTTATGATCTGTTTGTCTCTGCATATTCGCTGCTTCCCTGAGTTGGTAGAATAGCTTTCTGTTCTTGGGTGTCCAGTGGCTCGGCCTCCCCAATTACCTGAGGTGGATATACTCTTAGTGCACTCCTTTGTGGACTGTGTGTACAGTCTTGTTGTAGTTAAGTCTTGATTGTTTTTGGTATCACTGGGAGGAACTGACCTCCCAGCCAGTTGGCTGTAAGGATCAGCTGGGTCTACGCAAGGAGAACTTTTGTGCTGGAGATAGCCTTATGAGACAAGACTTGCAAAACTGTAAAAGCCTCTGTGCTCAGGTTGGATGGGGCAGAGTCTCAGGGCTGAGCAGGCAGTGTTGGCTTCCTATCAGCCCTGCCCCATGTGGCCCCTGGGTCTCAGTGTCCCTTGCTAATCGCTGCAAGCACCTCTGAGAGAAAGCAGCCCTCAAGTTTCACCCGCTGCCACAGTCCAGTTTCTTCCCCAACAAATCTGGATTCCCAGATTCTCGCCCGGAACTGGAGTTCAGCGCAGCCGGAAGTTTCCGGTTCCCTCCAGCTCAGCCCTTTGCAGCTCCTCTGATTCTCTGTGAGCTTTTCTCTTTCCTTCTAGTTGTGGAATTTCCACTCAGCTAGCTTTTCTGTGGTTCTGGATGATGTCTGTTCTGTCTTTTAGTTGTAGTTTTGAAATTTCAGCAAATATTTATTAAGCATACACTAAGTTCAATAAATATATGTGGCTGATTATGCCTTAACAGAAACAAACCAAAGTAATATACGACCCTGTTATCAATAAGTTTAAAATTATTAATGGAAACAGTCATGTAAATAGCAAAAACAAAACTAAATTAAGTACCATAAAAAAAGATAATACAAAAGAAAGCATTATTGGTTTCTGTTCCTCTAGCAAAGTTACCTTATTTTCCTTTCTACACTGGTCTCATTTTCCAAAACACTTTCAAAGTGCCCCAAGGAAATTTCCATAAGCCTCTAACACCACAACAGAACAATGTGAAGATCAGGAAACAATATTTTCTCCAGATTCCCATTTACCTCTGTTAAAAGGTTATTACCCAGCCGGTGTTGTTCAGTGGTTGAACAATGACCTACAAACCAGTAGGTACAGCTTAGATTCTCAATCATGGCACATGCCCAGGTTTTGGGCTTGATCCTTAGTGTGGGGCGTGCGGGAGGCACCTGATCAATGAGTCTCTCTTATCACTGACATTTCTATTGCCTTCAACTCCCCCTTCCTCTCTGAAATCAAAAAATACATATACATATATGGTTACTAAAATTGGAAATAGAGTCAGTAATATCTTTAAAACTATTCACAGTGTTGATGGTTAATATACTTATTGTGGTGATCACATTACAAAGTATATAAATGTTGGATCACTATGTTGAACACCTGAAACTAATACAATATTGTATGCCAACTATACTTCAATAACTTTTTAAAGGTTACTAGAAGCCAAAAATATTCATTAAAGTAATATCCAAACAATTTTTTCACAGTCTCAACTTCCAATATTAATTATGACTGAAAAAAGAGCAAATATACAAAAAAAATTAAACTTGTGCCGGGACCGGTTTGGCTCAGTGGATAGAGCGTTGGCCTGTGGACTGAAAGGTCCCAGGTTCGATTCCAGGCAAGGACATGTACCTTGGTTGCGGGCACATACCCAGTAGGGGGCGTGCAAGAGGAAACTGATCGATGATTCTCTCTCATTGATGTTTCTAACTCTCTATCCCTCTCTCTTCCTCTCTGTGAAAAATCAATAATATGCTGGGACCGGTTTGGCTCAATGGATAGAGCGTCGGCTTCGGGACTGAAGGGCCCCAGGTTCGATTCCGGTCAAGGGCATGTACCTTGGTTGTGGGCATATCCCCAGTAGGGGGTGTGCAAGAGGCAGCTGAACGATGACCCTCTCTCACTGATGTTTCTAACTATCTCTCTCCCTTCTTCTCTGTACAAAAATCAATAAAATATATTTTTTTAAAAAGAAAAAAAAAAGAAAAATCAATAATTTATATATATATATATATATATATATATACACACACACACACATATATATATCAACTTAAAAAAAATTCACAGAACTAATTAACCTCAGGAATTCCCCCCCAAAAAACCTGCTCTAAACAGTCTATCTGAAGTCAAAAAAGGAAACTTACATGGATCCTTTCTTATATAGGCCTGGTGCACAAAATTCGTGTGCGGGGGAGGGGATTGTCCCTCAGCCCAGCCTGCACCCTCTCCAATCTGGGATCCCTCTCACAATCCAGGTCTGCTGGCTCCCAACTGTTCACTTGCCTGCCTTCCTGATTGCCCCTAACTGCTTCTGCCTGCCAACCTGATCACCCCCTAACCACTCCCATGACAACCTGATTGATGTCTAACTGCTTGCCTGCCAGCTCATTTGCCCCCAACTTCCCTCCTCTGTGGGCCTGGTCACCCCTAACTGTCCTCCCCTGCAGGGTTGATAGCCTTCAACTGCCCTCCCTTGCAGGCCTGGTACCTCCCAACTGCCCTCCCCTACTTGCCTGATCACCCACAACTGCCCTTCCTTGCAGGCGTGGTCCCTCTCAACTGTCTACCCCTGCTGGCCATCTTGTGGGGGCCATCTTGTGTCCACATGGGGGCAGGATCTTTAACCACATGGGGCAGC